AGGGCAAGGAGGTAGAAACCAATTTATGACTAACGCTTTCGCTTCTCTTTGTGATGATGTCTTCCACATCAGGTATGTGCCTCTAACATTCTCTATGTAAGATAATCATGTTCAAGATCCTGAAAGTATTTAATCTAACATACTCGACCATATATCTGTTTTGCAGTAAATTTATTGGCAAGATTCAGTTCCTCACCAACAAAAGGACATTGAAATGGTGTTAAGCACATACTTGAATATCCTCGAAGGACCATAGGCATGGGTTTATTATATTATGAGGAATCCAAGTCAGAACTGATTAGTTACGCAGATGCAAAATATTTATTTGATCTGCATAAAGCTTGGTCTCAAACACGTTGTTTGTTTACATGTGGAGGCACAATAATATCTTGGCGATCAATGAAGCAAACGTTGGTAACCACTTCTTCAAATCATGCAGAAATAAAAGCCCTCCATGAAGCAAGTCAAGAGTGCATCTGATTGAGATCAATGACACACCATATTCAGAAAATGTGTAGTTTTTCTTTGAAAAAGAATATACCAATCATAATATACGAAGATAATCAATTGCAAATGAAATTGTCCACAAGATGATTGTTGCTATGAACAAGTTGAATGAGCAATTTACTTGCAGTAACGAGGTCACAAATAGCGTGTTTTTCAATAATGTATTCGGCTAAGCTCAAAGCCTCATCATATCCATGAAACCAGAAAATGATATATCATAAATGAGTTCAATCATGCAACATCTTCGTGAATATGATTTGATCACAAAGACACTGCCAATATTTGTGAAGTTGGTATATAAGATTGAATGACATCATCACAAGAAATTAAGTGATGCTTTAATCAGGGGGAGAATAATACGCGTTGCACTCTTTTTTCCTTGATTGAGGTTTTATCCCACTGAGTTTTCCTGGTAAGGTTTTTAATGAGGCAACAAATAATGAGTGTCAAAAAATATGTGTACTCTTTTTCCTTCACTAGAATTTTTTCCCACAGGATTTTTCCTAGTAAGGTTTTAACGAGGCACATTATCTATGGAAATCCAAGGGGGGTGTTATAAATTCATTGTATTGTGTGGATTGTCCATTAGATCTATCCAAGAATTAATTCAATTCATGTATGGGTGCTTCCAAGGTGATAAGAACATTAAGGGATAAGCATGTATCTACTAATTTGGTGACCTTTGGGAGTGATATCTCAACACTATAAATAGAGATATCACTCACCATTTGGAAGACACACTTGACTAAGAAGAAAAGTCTTCTCCTACATCTACTTCTCTTGTCTTCTTTCTTTATACTTATACTACTTTAAGCCTGATTTTATAACAAGAAGAAATAAAATAAAAGAATTGACACTACAATCCCAAAATAAAAGCTCTTGACAAACTTTAGCAAACAACAAAAAATCTATTTATTAGTTAAAAAAATTAGATTAGTGGATGATGGAAATTTGAAAAGACATTATCTTAATCTCGTATCCTAAATCATATCTGTCAGTATTATGATATTATTGATGTTGTAGACTTATTTTTTTGAATTAAAATAATTGAGAAATATAATAAAGCTAGAAGCAGTATGCTTATTAATATATTCAATCACATCTAAGAGTCTATTAATAGATAAAAATTAAAGAGATCTTACCTTAGATTAACAATGTCAAGAGGTATTTAATGGATTCTGGATTCTTTATATTATCAGTTGAAAAAAGAAATTATTAGAAAGATTAATTATTAAAAAATTAACTTTGTATCTCAAAAGGGTTGAAAAATAAACTTCAAAATTAAAATATTTATAACATTTTCTTTTATCATTTAAGTTTGGCTTTAGGGTACAAACTTTCTCGATCCACCCTCGTAGTTAATAGTTGCAAATTGTTGAACGATGATAAATTAGACAACAAAGAGAAGTATATTAAATAAATATATAAAATTTAAAATATTTTGATCAATTAATCTATATATAAAAAAAACCAATAATAATAATTTTTAAAAAACTTGTATTGAGAAAAAATTTCTTACTAAATAAGACTTTTTTAATTATTGCATTATGCATGCTATTGTGCTATCATTTGAAGGAAAGATAGTGAATTTATAGAAGTCTTACTACGGATTGCACAAATATGAAAGATATATATATTTTTGTGGGAAAAGTAAAAAATAATTATAATTAAATTTAAGTAAGATAAACAATTCAGGATAAATTCTAACGCAAATATTAAAATAAAATTCTACTTGGAAAATGTTTATAACACAGTGCGTTAATCACGAATGTAAGAGTTCTTCATTCAAAGTATTTATTGGTTCTATTCTAATGGATGGTAATTACTTCCGCTCCTTTTTAGTTGTTATAGTTTTTTTTAGAGTCAAACAATATATTTGATTAAGATTTTAAGACGTATTTTTTTTTTTATCATATTGATATGAAAAAAGTTGCAATTTATTGTACTTTCTGCATAGTTTTTGAATATCTAAAATTTTATTTAAAATATCGAATGAATGTAATCTAATTTAACTTTGAAAATTAGTCAAATTGACTCTTGAAAAATGTAACATGACAACTAAAAAGAAACGGAGGGAATAGTATTGAGCTATGGGTCTATTGGAAACGCCTTTATATCACCTTTGTGGTAGAGACGAGGTATGTGTGTATATTTTTTTGGTAACTAACTGATTTATTAATCACCAAGAGCAAACATTACAATCCAAGCAGCTAACACAACATGCTTTGTTCTCAATAAAAAACTCTCTGCTTACTACAGCTCTACTATACTATTACTAAAATTTAAAAGCAGTATGTACATTTTTTATTCTAGGGGGAGCTCTAGCAATAGTCACGTAGGCTATCTCCTTGGCCACACTTTCCGCGTGCAATTCGTCTCTTTTCCTTAAAGATTTTGTTGTTCCTCTCAATCCACACCCCATATACACATTCAACAAAAATAATCTTGAATATTTGGGTTGCTCGAGCCTTCCCTTTTCCATGTTGTATGCTCCATTGTATAAATCGATCCCAATTTGCTGGAGTTACACTATATTGTTGAGTCTATGTGGGCAATCTCTTCCATAAATATCTGGCATATTGGCATCGAACCATCAGGTGCTCTATAGTCTTTTATTCATTCAGACATAGGACACAAGTCTTGGATACCTCGACACCCCACTTGGCTAGTCTGTCTACTGTTGCCAGTTTCTTGCTGAGCATAAGCCACATAGTGAAATAGGCTTTTGGCCTTGCTGCATTCTTGAACATTAGACACTTCCATTCAATTCTTTGCTGCTCTCCAATCAAGCGCATATATATTTTCCTGATCATACTTCCTTTCTTGCTCCTTCTCTACTGAGTCTGCTCAATTATATCCTTGGCACTCATGATTTTCCTTACCATCCAGCTAGCTTGCTTGGCTTCTGGCCATGGGTTTTGACCTTTTATATAGTAAATATGGATCCATATGATCCAGAATTTATCCTCTTTACTAGCTAGGTCCCAGAAGAATTTGATAACTGCAGCTTTTTTCCATACTTTCATATTAATCAGCCCCATACCTTCTGCAGATTTAGGACAACAAATTATGTCCCAAGCAACTAATGCCTTTTTAGTGACCTGTCCCACACCAGACCATAAATAGCTTCTACATAGACCCTCAATCAGTTTAATTATTTTTGCAGGGATAATGAATAATTGTGCCCAATATGATTAGACTCCAAACAACACAGTTTGTACTAGCATGATCTTTTCTATAAGAGGGTACCATTGGATGACTGATAGTCTCTTAGTAGACAATGGTATCCCTAGGTATTGGAAAGGTAGCTTTTCCATCTTGTAACCAAGTAGCGGGATGATTTGTTGTCTCACCCCTATCTGTACTCCCCCAAAATAAATGGAGCTTTTTTGGAGATTTGCTTGCAACCCTAAAGCTTGTGAGAACTGTGAAAAACACTTTTGGAGGGCCATGATGGATTCCAGATCTCCTCTAGAGAATATTAGTAGATCATCTGCAAAACATAAGTGAGTAATATCCAATTTAGAGCATCTTGGATTCCATTGCTATAACACAGAGGAATGAAGACATTGGATCTCCTTGCCTGAGTCTCTTAGCTGCTGCAAAATTCTGAGTAGGCTACCCATTCACAACTATAGAGTAACTCACTGTTTTCACACAAGTCATTACCCATTGAAAAAATGTATCAGGAAAACCTAGCTCTCTCATCACTTACTCTAAGTAATTCCATTCCACTGAATCATAGGCTTTTTGGAGATCAATCTTCAACATGCTTCTTGGAGATATATTCTTCCTAGTGTAAGCTTTCACTAATTCATGAGCAAGTAGAATATTATCAGATATCTTTCTCCATGGGATGAACCCAGCCTGACTATCACAGATGACACTCTGAATAACTTCATGTAGTATTTTTGCCAATACTTTGGAGATGATCTTATACAACACAGTACAACATGCAATTGGTCTGTATTCCTTCACAGTTTTTGGGTTTTGCACTTTTGGGATAAAAGTTACTAGTGTGCAATTGACATGTTTGTAAATTTTCCCAGTTTTGAAAAAACTCTGAACTGCATCAATAATATCCTCTTTTATGGTCTTCCAAGTATACTTAAAGAAATAAGCATTGAATCCATCTATACCTGGGGCTTTGTCATTCCCAATGGATTGCAACCTTGCTGTAATCTCTTCTTTAGTTATATCAGCACATAAATCTATCCTTTGTTGCCTTGACAGTGTGGGTCCTCTCTTCATCACTTGGACATCTATAGCTGGTAGTGTAGTGACTGAGGATCCCATAAGTCCTTTATAGAATTGTACAAATTCAGTTTGGATATCTTGTGGTTCATACAACATCTGTCCAGTGAGTGATGTAATACATTTGATTTGCTTCTTCTGAGTTCTCTCTTTTATGATTGCACTGAAGTATTTGTTGTTAGTATCTCCCAGTTGGATCCATCTTGTCCTTGATTTCTGCCTTAGTGCACTCTCCTCTATCATCGCCATTTCTCCAGCTTCATCAGGATCTCCTTTTCTTGCTCAACTAAATCATCAGTGGCTTGATCATATAGTTCTTCTTGGATTCTACTGAGCTCATATCTAGCCTTCTCAATCTGCTGGCTAATATATTTGAATTCCTTGTTATTAAGTTGCCTTAAAGCAGGCTGAAGAGCTATTAATTTGCACCACACCTTCTTCATGCTACCCTTACCATAATCTTGCTTCCATACACTCTCCACTAAACTCATGAAGGAGTCATGTTCAGTCCATACATTAAAGAACTTGAATTTTACCTTTATATTGTGCTGAGTTATTTGCATTGTGAGCTGCATAGGATAATGATCTGATATACATGGATTCCCATACTCAGTAGTAACATGTCCCCATTTCTCCATCCATTCATAATTCCCAAACACTCTAGCAATCCTACTGGAAATTCTATCAATGTCATGTTGTTTGTTAGTCCAAGAATAGTAGTGCCCCTGCCATTGTAATTCAGTGACACCAATATCTTTAACACAATCTGCAAAATCCTTCACTTCATTGAGACTCACATTTGCTCCAGCTAATCTATCTTGTGGGGTGAGTAGAGCATTAAAATCCCCTGCAATGAGCCAAGGTTGAGTAATCCCTTGTGCCAAGGAGTTCAACTCTAACGACATCTCTTTTCTCTACTCTATTGTATTATATCCATAGATCACAATGAGCACAATCTGATGGCCTTTGGTTCTGTCCTTGATCAGGCAGTGCACTATTTGGGCAGTACACCTAATTATGTTGGTCTCATACCAATTTTCATCCCATATCACCCAAATTTTTTCATTCACAGCTGCATTATAATTGTGCATTATTCCCCATCCTGGTGTTATCTTCCTAAGGGTTGTTTTCATATTATGCTCCTTAACTCTTATTTCTATAAGCCCAACTATACTTATTTTATTGGTTTGCAGATAGGTTTTAAGTTCCTTCTACTTATACCTTTTATTCACACCCCTCACATTCCAAAAGACCCACTTCATCAACAAGTGTTGGGGGCTCCACCTCTATCAATAGGCAGTGAAGCAAGTTTGTTATGCATAAGGCTCTCAAACCCATTTCTAGTTGGTATTGCTGCTAATATAGGAAAATTAGTAAGGCTAAAATCCAGATGTTTACCTCCAGCATTAGGTCTCAGATTAAGTTGTGTTATCTCCCCTGGGTTTTGTTTGCCCTGTTCCCTCTCTGTCTCATGATTGCCCTTCTCAGTTGTGTTACAGTGCTTGATCTCTCTTGCTTATTGTCCCCTGTTCTGCACACATATATGCTCCTTCGTTTGAATTGGTCCTTTATATTGCTATGCCTGAGGTACTTTCTTTCCTGGTCGTCTCTTCTTAGTTCAACTCTAACGACATCTCTTTTCTCTACTCTATTGTATTATATCCATAGATCACAATGAGCACAATCTGATGGCCTTTGGTTCTGTCCTTGATCAGGCAGTGCACTATTTGGGCAGTACACCTAATTATGTTGGTCTCATACCAATTTTCATCCCATATCACCCAAATTTTTTCATTCACAGCTGCATTATAATTGTGCATTATTCCCCATCCTGGTGTTATCTTCCTAAGGGTTGTTTTCATATTATGCTCCTTAACTCTTATTTCTATAAGCCCAACTATACTTATTTTATTGGTTTGCAGATAGGTTTTAAGTTCCTTCTACTTATACCTTTTATTCACACCCCTCACATTCCAAAAGACCCACTTCATCAACAAGTGTTGGGGGCTCCACCTCTATCAATAGGCAGTGAAGCAAGTTTGTTATGCATAAGGCTCTCAAACCCATTTCTAGTTGGTATTGCTGCTAATATAGGAAAATTAGTAAGGCTAAAATCCAGATGTTTACCTCCAGCATTAGGTCTCAGATTAAGTTGTGTTATCTCCCCTGGGTTTTGTTTGCCCTGTTCCCTCTCTGTCTCATGATTGCCCTTCTCAGTTGTGTTACAGTGCTTGATCTCTCTTGCTTATTGTCCCCTGTTCTGCACACATATATGCTCCTTCGTTTGAATTGGTCCTTTATATTGCTATGCCTGAGGTACTTTCTTTCCTGGTCGTCTCTTCTTTGGTGGCTCATCCTTAGTTGTTATGCCTGATTGACATTGGTGGCCTATCTTCTGACATTTATCACAAAATTGAGGTCTCCATTCCAGCACCACTTCCTGCATAAATGTTCCTCCATTGGGATCCATAACTGTTATCTGCTGAGGTATAGCCTTAGTAACATTGACCTCAATGAGCATTCGAGCATATGAAATTCTTGTTTGCTTCGTGGTACATTCATCAACAAATAAAGGTACTCTAATCGCACTAGCTATTCTGCTTAATGATCCAACACCCCAACAATTAAGTGGCAATTTGGGAAACATCACCCACAAAGGAATTTCAACTAAAAATTCATTCCCAAAGTCAAATTCTGGACTCCATTGTTTTAAAATGATAGGTCTATTGTTGATAGTATAAGGTCCTATATACAAGATCTCATTCATATCGCTGAGATTCTGAAACTTAACTATGTAATACCCTTCTTCATGTAGGTATACATCCGGTTTAGTCACAACCGTCTAATTCATTGTTATATACCTATGCATTGTGTTATACCCAGGGCATTCCCCAATCACATAAGCAATAAGAGCACACTTCCATTTGTCCTCTTCCACTTGAACCTCATCTTCTTCCAGCTGAACCATAGTTTGACCATCAACTATTTGTGGAGGGAAATAGGTCAAGTTCATACCATTGTTTGCTGCTCTATTATTCTTGAACATATTAGTCCATAGTTCATTTGTATTCTTCTCCTTCCCTTTAGACTGCCCACCAGTATTCCTTGTTGTATCAACAAAGTTTTCTGCATCTACATTTACTGTTCCATTGCTTTCAGCCTCTTTCTCTTCCTCATACTCTAGATCTGAAGGTTCTCCTGCAGTAGTTGGTGGAGTATTTAAGCTCAATCGCCTCACTACTTCAGCCCTCGATGTTGTTCCTTTTTCTATTGTTCCTCTTTCATTCAGTGGTAGGGTTTTGGATTGCTCTTGCGTTTGTACCTCCTCTCCTTCCACTCGAGTACTTACTGAGCTTCTTATTGTCATTAAAGGAATTTTCCGGCCACGTCCCCTTCCTCTACCTCTTCCCCTCGCCATAGCCCACCTCTGCGCACGTTAACTAACATACGCTGAGAGCACGAAGAAGAAGAGTCACACTCATGTGTTTATTTTTTTTACTCTAATATAATTATATCATATTGATATAATTAGTGATATTAATTGAATGATTTAAAGTTTTTACTCTAAAATAATTATATCATATTGATATAATTATTTTAGAGTAAAAACTTAAAACCATTCAATTAATATCACTTAAAATTTATCAATACTAATAATATTTTATGTTACATCTAATTAGATTATTTAATTAGATGATTATTTTGTGCGTGCGTACTTGATGGTAAATAATTTCATTCACAAATTTATTGTAAAGAAGCTCACTAGGATGTCCATAATTAAAGTATGTTTCTTCATCAATAGTAGATTTATTACTCAAAATAGTTATAAAATTTACACAAATATTAGCGACATTCAAAGTAATAAAACTACAACTTAATGTTATGAATTTAAATCTAAAGAAAATAGCCAAAGTGTGTTCCATAATTATTTGAAAAATTATACACTAATTAAATTTAAATTAAAAAAATTGTTTTTAACTTTTTTTGAAAATGCTTGTATTGAAGCAAGCACGTCAATGGAGATGTGCATTAAAGACTATGATATAATCGTAAGTATTTTTTATATTTTTAATCAAATATTTCTAATTTAAATTTTGAGAATATGATTATATTTAATTTACTAATTAACACTTTATCCTCAAAATAAATTTTTTTGATACAAATTTAAATTAATCAGGTCTCAAAATAAATATCGAATATCAAAAAAGAATTTATTAAAAAAACAAGGATGAGTTGAGTGAGACAAGAAAAAGATTCCTTCTCCCTATTTTTTCTTGTCTCACTTTTTATGTTGATTTATATTTATCCTCAATAAAATGGGCTTCTTGAAAATGAAATATTATGCATTATTCGAAGTTTGGAGACACATACAGAAACAAAAAATAATGCACAAAACAAAATGGTAGCTAAGGATAAGACGTACATAACTTGATAAAAATAATACTTCCTTTTATTTTAATTTATGTCTCAACTTTGAATAGAAACGTAATTTATTTATTTTATTTTTAAAAAAAATAGGCTTCGTAGTCATAATATGTTGTAGTATTAATGCCGTTATAAAATTTAGAATTTATTATCTTAACAATTTATAAAAAATTGTAATTCTAAAATTTTCTCGTTAAGGGAAAATTCTAAAAGCTCATATTAATATAGAGGAAGTATCAATCACAAGAAGACAAGAGAAAACGACGTCAAACACACCTAACAAGATATATAGAGCTCTTTCATTCAAAACATTAATTAATTATATCCGAGATGCATTCGAAAGAGAAAAATGGATCTAAAATTTAAAATTTATCACTTTTATAACGATTTTTAAGTTATATAATAAGAAAGTTTATGAAACAATGATTAATCAAAATAATAATAATAATTGAACAAAAAACACCTTATTTAATGTGGGGAATCCTCGAGGGAAGAAAATTCACAGCCAGTCATCAATTCTTATTATTTCTCAATAAAAGATGATATAAATATGTCGAGTAAATCATATTTATACAAGCAACAAAAACTTTAATTCGATACAATGTAGGATGTGCTCTACTGCTCTATGCAATTTTTTCAACTAATCTACGCATCAGACCTATAAGCATAACAATAAATAAGTTTGTAAGTATATTTATATATATTAAATTTAGTTTTTTTTATATATTTATACAAAATTTGGACAAAATTCCATGGTTGATATACTCATCAAAAGTTTGTAAATAATAATTTAATTCTAGATTAAATTTTCTTACATAAAATTAAATTAATCAAATTCTAAAAATGATCTACATTTTTTTCTTGTCTCACTTTTTATGTTATTTAAAATAGTTAGACGTGTCATTGAAAGTACATATATAGATTCAATTTCATCATCATATATTAAAATGATGGGCCTCTTGAAAATGAAATAGTAAGTATTATGCATTGAGGATAAATGATTCGATGTTTGGAGACAAAAAAGAAGAAGAAAGAAAGTGATATCTAAGGATAAAACTCATGGTTATGTGTCAAAATTTGAATAGACGCATAATTAAAAAATTTCTTTTTAAAAAAAAACTCATGGTTATAAATAGGTTTAATTTATAATAATTGGCTATCAAAATCATTCAACATTATTTTCTCTTTTAAAGGTTATCCAACTTCGCGTAGTTAGTGATGAAATTAGAATTTTCACTAAAAAGTTCAAAATATATAGAAGAAAAATCCAAAGGGAATTGATACCTATAATGTTTTATTTGTTTTCATTAAGATAAGACGTCTAAATCTGAATGCACATCTGAATATTAAGATGTGCATTAAGATTTAGAGGTTTGAATCTGAATATATATCAGAATATTAAGATGCTGCATTAAGTTCTGAATATGAAATAGCTAAGACGGTTTATTTTCTCAATAGCAGAATATATAAAATTTATTAA